ACTTGTTATAGAACTCTCAAACTCTCAAATTACATAAATGCAAATGTTTTCATAGCAAAAAATGTTTATTTTCTGCATGTATTTCAATGGTATTTAGTATATTTTAACCAGATATTGGAAATCTATGCATAATTTTCATAAATTATGTGGATTTCAGATACTACATCTTAACTTTCTTCCAACCACAGACAACATTCTAAATTCCTCTCTTGAAATACCAGCTGTGGTGGTTTGGATGAGAATGGCCCGCATTGGCTCATCTATTTGAATACTTGGTCCTCGATTGGTAGAACTGTTTCAGAGGAATTAAGAGGTGTGGTCCTATTGAAGGAGGTGTGTAACTGGGGATGAGCTTTGGGAGTTCAAATCTCATTGCCATTCCATTCCTAGTTATAGCCTTCCCCCTCCCCTCCATCTGTCCCTCCCTCCCTCTCTCTCTCTCTTCCTCTATCTTCACTCTCTCCTATTTGTGGATAAGCCATCAGCTCTCAGCAACATCTCCGTTGTCATGACTACCTGTCTGACTTATTGCTTCCATGGTGCCCGGCATGAAGGTCATGGACTTACCCACTGAAACTGTAATTCCTGAATAAACTCTCTCTTGTGTAAGTTGCTTTGGTCATTTTTTTTTTCATGGCAATAGAAAAGTAAGCTATCAGCTAATACAGAGAAATCATGGGTGCTTTCTAATTTGTGTCATTTGTTTTCATGTTTGTGTATTTGTCAACTTTTCTAACATCAACATGATTATAAAGTGCACATCTTACCTACTCCCAGGGTGATTATGAATCACAGAAAGGTTCTGGCACTGAAAGTATTGACAATCTGTGAATATTAAAAATATTCCAGTCATTGTTATGATAATGATCATAGTGTTTGGCATGATGATAATGCCCTAATTGGTTTTCCTTCTGCTTCGTCTTACACAGTCTTATGAGCAATCTAAATTCTTAGCAGATCAGTTCTGATGCTGATTTGTTGCTTATAGCAATGTAGTAAATTAGAGGAATTCTGATAATAACCTTCATTTAAGTTATGTGGCCATTAGTAAGCTCTACATCAGCACGTGTCTTATTATGCCAAGCATAAAAGGAAAATATTTAATTAGACTTGAAGGTAAAGAGTGATTCTTATTCTAATTCTGAATATTCAGGGTTATTTTTAAATATTTCTGTGGCTTATGAGGAGACTAGACATCCTAATGAAGAACCACCATTTATACATATGAAAATCTATGATTGGTTCTCTTTTTATTATCAACTCTAATCCTTGTCAGAAGCTAAAGTATTAGTTTTTCATCTATTTTGTATGCTTTAGTTTGTAAGGATTTTTCTAAGCTACTTAAATTCCATTTTCAAAAGCAATAAATCAACTTTCCCTCTATCCATTCCTTTGGTTCAATTACTTTTTTCCTGAAATGGGCACAACTTCATAGCATTTAAACATGAACATGTCTTCAAATGATACAATGAATTGTGACAATGTACTTCCATTATCCTTGAAAATAACTTATTCATACATGTTAATATGAAGAAAAAATTCTATAATGTATGTTTTATGGGGAAATAGTTTACAAATTTAAAAACAAAGAGAATTACTAGTGAAATTTGCATTTTAAATGTGCACAGCCATGGGAACCCAAATAAAGAAGATAAAGTCAGAATGTGAAGGGATTGTCAAAGTTGGCTCACTCAACCAAAAATTAGTACTCAAATGTAGGTAGGATTTTTTAAAAATGAATTAAATAACTAAATGTTTCAGTTTACATATAATAATTACTGCCTGGAAATCTATAAAAAGAGTTCATTCTTCCTTTGCAATTCTATACATCATTTTCTTCCAAAATACATTTTAAGTAAGTATTAAAGTACTTCATTATCAAAAAGCAAGAGATGTAACATGTTTAACACACACAAGTCCTTTACCATGTTTGCACTTAAAACTGAAGATATCAATACAGCTAATGTGAAAGCTTCATTTATTTCATATTTTTCCCTCTAGAATTAAGCATAGAATGATATGCTTAAAAATTAGTACTTAATACTCTTACCTCAAATGCCTGTGTCACTAACAATCATTATTCTCTGTGCTTTTAGTTTTACATGTGGTTGATATTTGACTCAACACTTCATTTTCTAAATGCAGACAAATTATATATATATATATATATAATCATTATTCTCTGTGCTTTTAGTTTTACATGTGGTTGATATTTGACTCAACACTTCATTTTTTAAGTGCATTTAAATATATTTAAGTCAAACATCATGTGTGGTCTGAAAAGTCGCATAAATTAGAGCTGAAATGTAGCTCTTTACTGTCAGTTTTTCCTCAAAAAATCTTGATATGAACATCTACTATTGTATTTATTGGTAGCTGACTTATCCTAGCTTTCACAGCCAAACACAGTATAATTCACATCATGGCTCTATCTTCTCTTATGTAATATAAAGATGATAGAGAGATATATTATAAAGAGAAATCATTCCTGTATGCAAGAATAAGTATTGACCTGATGTGTCCACATTACCAAACAATGTTAGTGACTTGGCATCATTAAATTTATCTCTTTATTCTCTCAGATGAAAAATGAGAGTTCAGGGAGCTGCAGATCAGATACCTGCTTCATTCGATTGAATTATGCAACTGAAAAGGAAAATATGGAAATGAGCTTGCCGATCACAAAATGGTGTGAAGAGAAATTTGGGGGAAGTCAGTTATTGAGTAACTGACAGATACCGTTTCATAAGCAAGTATAAGAGGCAGTTCTGTGCAGGAAAGTTTATTAAATTCATTGTGAGTTTAAGATTCAGAGCAGTGTCTAAAATAAGGTAAGACTCATAGGGAAGCATGCCCTGTGATATATTATCTGAGCTTCCTGGTGCACTTAAACCCTGCTGCAGAGTCAGGGACTCCAACTTCATCTGGCCAGCAGCAGAAGTAGGATGTTTGCACATCAAGGACACAGAAAGGAATCTAAGCATTAGCAGGTATGAAGCCCAGCTCCTTGATGAAAGAGGGAATCAGGAAATATTAAGAAAAGACTAAGGAGAGGACATTAGAAAAAATGATCTAAGAATTTATTATCTCGGAATTTATATTTTTGTAGTTATATCAGGAACCATTGATATAATTATATAATTCCCTATCTTTAAAAACTTCCAGTTCTCTCCTTTCTTTTATTTAACCCTCTTTCCATATTGGCCTGACGTTTCTATTTTCATCTTTTACTCTCCTATTGTAAAGCATTTCCCACTCTGTCTTCCATAAGAGAAAACAAAACAAAACAAATAAACAAACAAACAAAAAATAGTCTGATTGAGTGACTTGGCTTCCAGAGGCCATTTGAACTAATCCTTCAAGAATGGAGAGTCTCAAATTTTAGCTTCTGTTTTTAATCACAAAACATGGTTAGGCATTTAGTCATGGGACTGCTATATTGAAAGAAGTAAAACATGACATTCATTGGCCAAAAATTGATCAACTTAACCATTTAAAATATATTACCATGTTTATAATCTTCTTATCTTTGTTTTCATAACTTGTTTTCTAAACTGCTTCAATCTGGAAAGAATATCTGATCCCTGCTTGCATTTTCCTCTCTGTAAAGGCATGCCCACACTCGATCATTCTGAAAGACAAAATGAATTGCTCCTTGGTTCTTGCCATTTTTGTTGAAATAATTCTCTTCTACTTTTTTATTGCATTGAGAGAAAAGTAGAAAGGAAACTCCTGATCTGAGCAGTACATCACCTGCCCCTTGAACTAGAAATGATATCACTGTCTGACGAGCTTCTCTTTTTTCTGCAGTGATTCCAAACTTTTCTCTTGCCAGTAATTCCAAACCTTTCTAAACATTGAGCTTCTAGGGATCACTGATGGTTGCTCAGTTATCAAATGAGCTGAACTATGTCTGAAACTCCAAACTTCAATGCTGAAACATGAAATCTTGGTTACTAACTAGGGTCTCGTGACCTCTGAGAATGGAGTGGTGTAATAAACTGAGTCATTGCAGCAAATAAGGTAATTATGAAAGAATCCAGGAAGGGGAACAGGGAGAAAATATGAGTGAACTCTGGGAATATAGTATTCATAGGGCCAGAGATGACCCTGGGCCAGGTATGGTGCACATACTTTTAATCCCAGCACTCTGGAGGTAGAGGAAGGCCAATCTCTGTGAGTTCTAGTTCAGAATGGTCTACAGAGCAAGTTCCAGGACAGCTAAGACTGTTACACAGAGAAACCCTGTCTCAAAAAACAAAACAAAAACAAACAAATAAAACAAAAAATGTGACCCTGGGACTCAGAGACAGAGAGAAGAAGCCTTGAAAATTTTCTTTTGTAATGTCTATTTTATTTCATCCTTTCCTTTGTTCTATTTATTCATGTACTCCCAAAAATGTCATCCTCCTGAACCAGCTCTATAATATTAGAATGTTATTTTACATGAGAAGGTGAAGGCTCCATAGAAGTTGTAGGCAGAAGAGGAAAGATCATCCAAAACTGAAACAGTAAACAAGTGTTATTCCTTTAATGTAACATATTGTTGGTCATAAGAGTTGCTCAAACATTGAGATGGAAACATGGTCGGATGTGCATCTACTCAGGCATCCAAGTACGGTATTCTTTGTTGCTTCTAATATCTAGCATAAGCATAATACTATCTTGGTTGCTGCAGAAGTTGAAAGAGAACTTTCATTATGAACAAGCTGCCTTGTCCTTAGGAACCTAATGAGCCTTTTTTGCTAATCTTCAAGGAGGAAGACAATAGTCAGATTCAGTGAATTCTTAGTGTATCTTTAGGAAGCTGGGAATTCTTTGCATCTTATGAACAATTAAGTTCTTGGCAATTCCCACAAGTATGGAACAAGATATATTTCAATGGATAGGGAAAAAATGAAGAGAAAGGTGTCTTAATTGTTTACTCCTAAATTCTTTCAATTGAAGTTTATTGGTAGATGAATATAGTCACTTAGGAATTATGGTCTGGTTTATCTTTTAGAATCCCTGTATGCACCATATAAACCCTAAGGCCACTGGAGATTTTATTCAACCACGCAGAATGAGGACATGACTATACAGGTCAGCAGGAGAAGTCTCTAAAAGTCAAACTTGGAGGTGATTATAATCCATCTATTTAATCCAATTGGCTTAAGCTTAACCACCTGAATGAAGCTAAATTCCTATGTCTATGTCTAAAACTGAGAAGAAGTGGATTTGGTGAATGCTCCAGTGATCATATATTTTGTGGCAACCTGCTGTATATGAGGTGCTCTTGCAGCCAGGCTACTTGTGCTTCTTACATGGTCCTCAAAACAACTGAAATGGAATATCGCTCCATTTTATAGATGAAGTTCAAATAACATGGGAACTGCACCAGGACGTCCAGATAAAAAGAGTAAGAGCTGAAGTTTGAGAAAGATTTCAAAACCACACTTTAAAAAATGAATAGATCCCAAAGGACTCCAAGAACAGCTGCAACAGGATTATTTAGAGGCCCTAGTTAAATAACGTTTGATGGGAAGAAGGCCTGGAAGATCCTATTTGGTAGCTTTGGGCTAAACCCCAGTAATATATATTTTTAAGAACTCCCTAGGTAGTTCTATGTACACTCTGAATTAAGACCATCTGCTCTAAGTCTTACCGAAATTAACCTCCCAATGGACACTATTGGGGCATGAGAATTAACTGTAATCAGTCCCATTAATAGGTGGCAACCGCACTTGACCATCTCCTCCCTTCTGTCAGCCTCTCATTAAACATGAAGAGAGCCCGCGGTGCTCTTGGGAGAAACTGGTGGTGCAGCAATGAGCCTGAATGGAGGCATTTGTGCAAACTGAGGGATGGAGTCATTTCAAGTGACATGATTCACTGAGCCACCATAAAATAATAAGTGCGGTAACAACAACCACATCATTACTCAGCTGGGTGGCATTTGAATTGGTGTCCTAACAGGCTCCCACTGTTCTGTTTCCCAAACGGAGTCTTTCTTAAGACACTGTGAAAATTAATGTGACTGGAAGGATAATAGTTAGACAGAATTTTCCTAATTTATTCAGACTAAAAGGAGACACTGTACTTTGCCATCTCCATTCAGATCGTGGCTATTTTCCCAAAAAATGTTAGAAAAAACTTCAGACATTTTGTTGAAGAGCATTTCATCTTTTGAGCTCTTTGATAAGAATACACTCTTCCTCCAATTCCTTTCAGAGTGTATTTAAGCCAAGTTCTTTTTCTTTTGTTTTTGAGATCATAATATAATTACAACATTTCTCTTCCTTTTTTTTTCAATCCAAACCTTCCATATATCCCTTTCTGCTTTCCTTCAAATTCATGGCCTCTATTTTTCATTATTATTGCCTGCATATATGCATATACATACATTGCTAAATATAACCTACTCAACCTGTATAATGTTATTTGTATGTATGTTTTCAGGACTGACCATTTGACCTTAGATGACCAGTTGGTGTGCTCTTCCCAAACTGTTAATCTATCTTTGTTAGATCACAGTTTGAACAATACATTTCTTATGATAGACTCTGTTAATATTTATGAAACTATTTCTTATCTAAAGACTATCTAGACCCTTTATCTAGAGATAAGCACAACAGGTACATCCTATAACTTTGTGGCATAAATTTTACAGATACATATATGTATACACAATACACACATACCACAAATTCTCAAACATAAAAACACCAGTATGCACCACATAAATTGTGATTAGCAGCTCGTAGAGTACAAATTTATTGAGCTGTAAAACACCAAGGTCAAGATAATTTGCATGGTTTTCTCTATTTTAGTTCAAAAAGGGTTTAGGAAACTTTGATGCTTGCAAAGACAGAGTCACACGTGTGTATTCATTTGGACAATACTTAATATAGCCCATTATTTGAAATTACAGATAGCTCACTTAATAAAAATGCAAAACTCTGCTGTTTCCTTTGTCTTTTAAGAATTATTTCCATGTGTTGTAATTTAGCATGGTATAATTTGTTTGGAAAATTAAAGTAATAAAACCATGGTTTGTTGTGTGTTTCAATGGTGGCAATGATTGTCTCAGTGGGTGGCTATAATGTGGGGAGAAGTCATTGTCAAGATATGCAGACAGAATAAGTACTATTTACCAAGGGCTAATGTATAAGAACTAATAATAGACATATTGTTGCATAAAAAATTACCTCCCTAGGAGAACCTCAACAATGTCAGTGTTTCAGCATGCATATGTTTTCCGTCTAAACCACTAAAATAACTTTCTGGGGCGGGGGGAAAAAAGACATCCCGGGAAGTCTTTCCACTGTCATATTTTTAAGCTGTGTTGTCTAGGATTGTATGGTACACTGTGAAGCTAATGGGAATGAATGATTCTGACAGCTGCTGCGTTTATTAATATTTCAGAGGCATGATAAAAATGATGATGATTATTATTATAATAATGTGAAGTACAATAAACACATGTAATCATGATAATGCTATTATTTTAGTAATTTAGGAAATTAGGACCTAATAAGAGATCAGTGGAGGACAATTTCAAAATGACTCTATGAGTGTGTGTAAGAAGAAAATTGCTAGATAGCAAAGCTAATCAGCTGAGCAGGAGATTATCTGAATCTGTTCAGTTTTATCTTCTGCAGAGAATTTTGAATTTCCCATTGGAAAATCATCTAAAAGTAGCAAAATTTGGAAGGAACACCTGGATATATAATGTTCAATTACGAACATGTACAAAAGTCCATCAAGATGCTATTTGAGTATATCAGTCATAAAGATTGGCACTTGGATGAATGAATCCCATGGAAGAAGAGCGAGTCATTATACAATAGGATCCTAGTGTGATGATCAACAAAACAGCTTGATAGTAAAAGTAGAAATAAAAACAAACACTTGCATTAGCATGAGATTGGTGCTGGGGAACAGAGAGCACATACAATGTTTGAGAGCCCTAGGCAGAAACCAAGAGCTAGAACAGAGGTTGGAATGAACAAAAAACAAGATGAGAGAGTTAACCAAGGTAAGTACAAACAGCTCATGTGAAAGTGTCTACAGGTGTCCTGGCTGCAGTATGTAGTATTAAAATAACAGCAATTAACTTAATGGTTTTAACTACTGTAATATTCTGCTTATCAATGCTCTGTATCCCATATTTGCCCTCATAGTCTATATGACAAAATGTTGCTAGTGGTTAAATTGACAAAATTAAACCCATGATTATTTAATCATTAAATAATGATAGGAATGAAAGACAACAAACGAACTCATGTCAATTAACCATTGGACAATTCACAAGAATCTAAAAGACATGATTCAGAAGGACAGAATTCATTGTCCTTTCATTTGAATTTTCTTCACCCAGGCCATAGTGTGTTCTCTGGCTTTTGGTTTATATTGGAAAGAAAAAACACATACATGGTTTTATTTTCTGTTGTTTCTGCTTATACATCCTTGCTTATAATCCTACTCTCACATGAATCTTGTTCTTCCAAATTGTCTCTGATGGAACATGTCAACTGACATGAAGCCATGCTCTGCTCCTCAGTCTCAATAACAGAAGAGCTCTCTGATAATATGAAAAAATTTAAAAGCAACGGCAAATCATGGGCTGAGACTAAAGCTCTCCCAGACTACACTCAATACCCTTTCCCACAGCCACTACACACAACACAACAACTGTCCCCACAGCTACCAGTAAAGCAAGTGGCATTCACAGTCAATTCCATAAAGCTAGGATATGTAGCTCTCCCAGGGAAGAAAGTAACTTAGGGATGGAATATTAATGAATTGTCATGGAACTTAATGAAAAATCTACAGCAAGCTAAATATAGCTGCTATCAGAGTGTGTAATACCCTCTGAGAAGCTGTCCATTATCAAATCATCTACAGTCAAGTAGAAGAAACATCAAAGAACCCCAAACCCAATGCATACCTTTTATTTTGTCTGTTGGTAGATACAAAAAAAAGAAAATCATAAAATGCAACAAATATAATGATGACATGGGGGTCATTTTACCCAGAAAGGTATTGTATTTTTTAGCAAAATAAGGGAGTTCATTTTAAACAATAATCTATTCCATATTTGGCATTTGTAGACAGAAGGTTTCTCTGCTCCGGCCTGGTCCTGTGGTCCCTCAGCCACTTATAAAATAACCATTCAGAAGCTTAATATTATTTACAAACTGCATGGCCTATGGCAGACTTCTTGCTATTCAGCTCTTTCAGTTTAACTCAACCCACAAATATTAATCTATGTATCACCACATGTTCAGTGGCTTTACCTGTATCCCATTACATGTTGTTCCTAGGATGGCAGCCTGGTGTCTCCACTCTGCCTTTCTCTTTCCTGTCTCCCTCCTTGGATTTCCCACCTGCCTCTAAACTGCCTTGCCATAGGCCAAAGCAGCTTATTTATTAACCAATGTGAACAACGTATATTCACAGCTTACAGAAAGACATCCGCCAGCAGGAATTCTATACACATAAAATGTGAAATTGCTCATTGTAAACTATTTTAACCCACAGCATCTTGCTGGATCAATGCCAGAAATTCAACACTTGAAATTACATTGACTAATTTTTAAATCCGCTAATATACAAAAGCTCGTGCAAATGGATTTCTGAGGAATAATTAGGGCATTCCAGTGCTGTTTTTGTGCATTTTTTAAAAGCACATTCTGAAAGTTGAGGAATTGTTCTCACATTATTTACTTCCATACAAATATGACCTTTATTCTTACTAAATAATAAGTTATGCACTATGTATACTGTCTTTGTTGCTGTCCTATGGCTGTGAAGAGACACCATGACCAAGGTAACTCTTATAAAAGAAAGCATTTAATTGTGTGCTTGCTTACAGTTTCATCATGGCAGGGAGCAAAGCCAATGGTGGCACACATACAGGCATGGTGCTGGAGAAGTATCTGAGAGCTGTATACAGCCTTATCCTCAGACAGCAGACAGAAAGAGAACAATATTGGGCCTGGCATAAGCTTTTGAAATCTCAAAGCTGACCTTCAACAGCACATCTCCTCCAACAAGGAAATACCTACTCCAACAGAGTCACACTTCCCAATCTTTCCAGTCTTCACCTGGGTACTAAATATGCAAACATATGAGCTTACGGGAGGCCACTCTCATTCAAATCACCACATGTGTTATTAATATTTAATTGTATCTCATGAACTGAATGAATATATTTCACATATCTACTGTTATTTTTCCTGGACAATACAATATGACAAATTTGTTAGGGAATGAAGATGTTCTTTAAAAAAAAAGTATTCTTCATATAAAATCCTTTATCCTTGCCGGTTGTGGTGGCGCGCACCGGTAGGATTTGCTGAAGGAGGCAGAGGCAGGAGGATCTTGAGTTCGAGGCCAGCCTGAGACTAAAAAAATAAAAATAAAATCCTTTATCCTACAAGTTCAAATGTTGCCATAAAAATACTAATGATACATGTTTCAATTAGAGTTTCCTATAGAGTCATCATAATTCATCTAAAAACTTATGACTCCTCCAGTTATAAATGATAGAATATAGAAAAAATGCAATATGCTAGATGATGATCTTTTTATAGAATGTTTCCTCATATTGATTGCCAGGGAGCAAATCATGCCTCTGTCAAGATTTGAGTATAAAGCATTACCAGCCTATAATTTATTTTGTTACTTGTAATGAAGCCAGGGTTTGTTTGCCTGATTCTGTTTGGTTCGTCTTCGAGGTCTCACGAGATGATTTAAACATTGCAGACACTTTGGGAATAATTCTATTTTCAGCAAGTCATTGCATAGGAAAGGTAATTTAATTCATGAGTATGTATAATCTATTACTCATTTGTATAAAACCATCTGTAAATTTTCAAGCTGATTAATGGGACTGAGAGAAGAGAAAATATGTATATTTGTTAATCATCTAAATTGTGCTACTATGGTTTCACATCAATTAACGCATTGCATCATCAAAATACATTATGTTAATGCCTTACTTTTTACATAGAGGAAATTAGGTCTCAAAAATTTCCATGAAATGTGTAAGTTTATATATTTATAATTATATAGTGAAACTATAATTTGAATCCCATGTCTCCTGTTTCAAATATTCTACATTATTACCAAGTCATGATGACTACATATCCTAACCAAAGCTACAACTGCCTATTTGTACAAGTAGATAAGAACACATAGACTCTAAGGACATTTTAGAAGAAGTTTAAGAGGTTTAAGATATTTTCTTTAGATTTGTAATTGAAGAGAGCATCAGTTATCATGACAGTTGATACAAAACATTAATATTCAAGAATAAATATGAATTGTTCTAACTTTTTTCCTAAAGTAAAACATAGATTAGTGTTAAATACATCTTTGAAACTAAACATTTCACATTGCAATCATTAACTATGAATTTGTCTCTTTTAATTGGAAATCTGAAGAAAGTAAAATATATCTATCAAGTTTATTTAAGTAAAATACATACTAGAAAATCTGTAAGATTGACATGTGTGTAACAATAAAAATTTTAAAAAAAGAAGCTGTGATTTCCAACAGGAACAAGGGGATATATGGAAAGAATATGAGGGAGGAAAGAAAGTAAAGTAAATAATGTAATTATATTTTAAATTGAAAATATTAATAAACAGTATAGCTTCCTATTAAAGATGGATTAAAAAATAATTCTGTTCCTTAGACACAATCACTAAACACCAAAAATATATTCTATTACTGAAAATAAATATCAAATAATGCATCCTGACATGTTTTAAGTCCCTGTACTTATCTCAGCTCTCCTTCCCTCTCCTCTTCACCAGATCCACTCTGCCTCCACTTCCCTTCGGAAAAGCACAGGCTTCCAAGAGACAAAAACCAAACATGGCATAACAAGATGCAATAAGACAAGGCAAAAGCCTTCATATTGAGGCTGGACAAGGCAAACCAATAGAAAGAAAAGAGTTCCAAGAGTAGGCGAAAGAGTCAGGGACACACCCTCTCCTACTGTGAGGACTCTCCAAAAACACCAAGCTAACAGTCAGATACTGGATGGCACTGAGAGTTAGAATCAGTTCCTTGTCCAATCATCATCAGAGAGGTTTCCTCCGGAAGCAGATGGAACAGGGTGCAAAGATCCACTGCCAATCATTATGTGGAGAGATAGTTTAAACTAGAGGTCTCCATCAGGTCCCTCCCCTAGGAGCTTGGGGAACCCCCACAGAAGAGGGAGAGGAAAGATTGTAGGAGTCAAAGAAGGTAGAGGACACCAAATTACATCGCTCACTGAATTAGTGTTCAGATGGACTCACAGGGATTGATGTGGCTAGCAGGGACCTGCAAGAGTCTACATAACATTTCAGTAACTGATTTATTCGTGATTTATAAAATCTTACAGCACCTGGCAACATTTCACCACAAGGGTTTTCATGTAATTTTAAACAGAAAAACAATCTTACCTGTAACATTTTGCAAATGACTTTGTTTAAGACAGGCTAAAATCAAGTATATGTTTGGAAGCTACAGATACATGCAATATGATTTGTTAAAGCACAGTGGGTAGTCTCAGATAACTATATATCTCATTTTTCTTCAAAAGAAAAGAAAAATAAGATTAACTTATAGAAAAAGATATTAGGATAGGGCTGTAAAAAATTGGTGAGAATAGAGAGAGTAATTGGAAGAAGATGGTCAAGGACATAATGTGACACCCAGATGAAAGGAATCCACTCTATCTTTTGTGAACATATTTAACAATAGCTTGTTTTGTGTCTTTTACCATATGAGGATTTGAATGTGCTCTACAAAACAATAATAAAAGATTAAGTTGGAAGACACACTCATTGCTTTTTTTGATCCTTTCCCAAACATATATGTGTCTATACCAAACCATTACACTGCACTTCAGAATTATGTACAAATGTGACAAGGTGATAAAAATGTTTCACAAGAGAGAGTATCATCCTCATATTCTAATTGCTCTGATATGTTTCATAAAAACTTTAAATGATGTGATGGGGGAGGGGCAAAGTTTAAATTTGCTATCATATAAAAATAAGCTTATTTGTTCTCTCATGTTTTCTAAGTTATTAAAAGCTTCTATTATATTTGAGGTTTCCCGATCAGTCCTTTTATTGCTTTTAGGAGAGAGGAAGGGGTCACAGTAAGGAAATACTGGAGCAAAGCAAACCAAAAACCAGCCAGGCAAACTCCAGATTCCATAGTGCTACATGGTCTAATGCTGAAGGGCTTAGATGACTCTTCCCTTCTAGTTTTGCTAACGAGATCACTTCTTTCTTTTGGGCTGATTCCATTCCGTATCTCTAGCTCTATTTGGTAGGTATCCCATAGCTCTGGCATCTCCAACACAATCTAGGCTTCATTTTCATAGTGTTATGCAATGTCCACTCAGGTCTCCATGCCTCCACTCCCCTGCCACAGCCTGGCCTTTCATCTTTCCTTAACTGAGGAGGAAGATTTCCCAACCCCTTACTCTTGTATCCTTCATGACTTCGAAGCTAGAACCAGTTAGCCAGTGTTGCTTAATCTGCTGCTACCTTGGGATAGAACCTGATGGACACCTTGAATTATATTCACATAAGTTTTTATTTGTTGATGCTTTCCTCAATCTCATAATCTTCCCTTTAATTTTTTAGGCGTTTTCATTTCACAAATTGCAGGATTAGCTGAGTGGGGTCTTGCAGTGAGGGCACCATGCCCTTTATTCCATTTCTCATCACTTTCAGCACAAACCAAGGCTCCAACACTAAATTTCCTGGTGCTTTTTGTCTCCTTAAGCTCTTTATTTTTTTTATTTCTTTTTGTCATGCTTGCTCTTTTTTTTTTATAGGTGTGACCACTAATTATCACATGACAGATTAATGTTAGGTTGTCTTGAAATCTCCTTCGCCAATGAAGTTACTTCAAAACTCCTCAAATTAGCCTCGGGCAGATTCTTGAGACAAGGGCAGAAAGCAGAAAGCATTTGTTAAAATGTCACAAGAACGGTTGTTGGCCATTTGGTTGCTAATATGGTTCCCTCTGAAACCTCTTATGCTCGGCCTTCACATTCCACATATCTCTTTGCACTGTTGTCTTCCAAACTGCTACTAGGATGGTGTGTTAAGCCTCACTTACAGTGTTAAACTATTTTTCTAGTCTACAGTCCCAAAGTTTTCTACAATGTAATCAGGCCTGTCACAGCAATATGCCAATCCTTGGTACCACATTCTACCTTAATTCCCTTTCTATTGCTATGAAAAGACACCATGACCCAGGCAACTTATAAAAGAAAGCGTTTAATTGGAGGCTTGCTTATTGTTTCAGAGGGTGAGTCCTTGATGGTGGAAAGACAGGCAACAGACAGGCAAGCATGACATGGAGGGGGTCATTATCATTCCAACCACACAGCCTCCCATCTGAAGTGACTAGTCATGGCTTCTACATCTCACTGGGAAAAGTCTGGCACACAAGAATGGCCTAGGGAATTTCCAACTTCAAGAAGAGCTTTCTAAGTATTGAATTGCCTCCAGCATCCAACACAGCATAGGTAAGCATGACTTATAGAGCTACAAAATGAAACAAATACAGCATAAAGGGGGGAAGGGTGAACCATTTAGTTTCTCCCCTGAGTTCTTTGATCTCAAGCTATGCCTTAGAATTCAATCTGTAGACATGGAGCCATTAGCTCTAACACTAATGCCACTGTTTGACTGGTTTTTTTTTTTCTTTTTCTAGGAGTCTTTGAAGGTGTGTGCATTTGCAGGGTTGCAAGCCAGAACCTCTCAGAAGAGGAGGCAGATGCTGGGTTTATAGATAGCTTCAATAGGCACAGGTATTTAATAAAACTGGCATCTTCTATTTAGCTTAAGGTTGTTCTGCCTTTTGCATAAATGTCTCTAGTGGCCCACAAAATGTCTTCCTTAGAAGAAGAGAAGGAAGCTAAACTCAAGAACTAAGAAATGAAAATAACTAACCTAAATGGAAATACTTGCAGACAATTTAATGCATAAGTATGTCACAATTACACTCCCAAAGAATAACAAAACAAAATAGAATGAGTAAGAACCAATGTATTTGGTGCAACAAGCAGATTCCCATATAAGCTAGCCCAAACTAAAGAAGAATCTGGAAGCCACAAGCCGTGAGTAATCTATGAAAGCACACAGGTAACGCCTCAGTGCGTTGGCATCCACAAAAGCTTAGGAAGTAATCAAGTTCCCAGAGTTTGAGGTGGAAAAGTACTAAGTAAAGAGATAAAGACTTCAAGATACAGCAATTAAGCAGAAAGTTCTTTTGTCAGTAGTATTTTTATTTTATGACAATGGATACATTTGTATATATCACAATACAGAGTTTGTCTCTTATTTTTAGAGGAAAAGCCAGAAATATGAAAGTATTAATATTGTCATATTAATACTGAGTAAACTAATAAATAGAAAATAGGTTGAATGAAACTGGTTTTTACCTTAATAATACTCATCTAATATAAACTAAGAGAGGTTGTCAAGTGATTCAGGACTAAAACATGTTTTAATCTGAAATCCTTCTTGGTTTTGAAGAAATCTTATTACAGGAACCAGAGCACCAGGAAATACAACATGACAACGAAGAAAAAAATGGCACATTGAAATCTTCTAGAGAAGGATGGATAGAGGAAGAAATGAATGAGTGCGTGTAATAATGTATAATAAGTACATAGCTGTTCCTCTCTAAATTCCATTTTATTGGATCAATTGTAACATAGAATGAAAATATACATTGACGGGAGCCATAAGCCTAAGTGACCCTTGATACACATGCCGCCATATTTGGGCTTCTCTCCTCTTAGATCTAGGCCTTGCTTAAGTCTCCATAGCACCAGAACCTCTTCCCACCGATACCAGAACCTCTTCTCAGATATCAGGTGAGCAAGCTGCAGTTAGGCAATTAGGCAGTTAGGCAAGAGTAGATAGATAACCCCCAGAGCAGCATTCCCTGCTGGCTGAACAACCCATGATTAAAGTCCTCTCCCTGCTTGCACCCCACTTTGCCCTTGCCTCTATATGCCTTAAGAGGAAAATAAAATTTTGGAGCTTGATCAGACGTCCCGTCTTGCTCTCATTCTTTGTGTCTCTTGTCCTTCTCGTTTGCCGGCCCTCCCTTCAGGTCCCTGTTGAAGACCCCGCTGGCTGGGGCAGTACACATGCATGAAAATTAAGCAACTCTCTCAAGTCATTCTTTCAAAAGGGAGAACGAATCAGCTTGTGCTGCTTTGAGAAATGGAATTTTAATAGTGAGATCCTCACTTGACTGTCTTTTATATTGGGCCACAGCTCCCCAGATAGAACAAGGTTTCTTCTCAATGTTCCTTGTGGTTTGTTTTACTTTCTCTTACACTACTACTTACCCGAAGTTTCCATGCAGAAAAATTGTCTCTAGCATATTTAATTTTTTACTTCATGTAAGTTCAACCTCTGTAAAATACTCATTTGAATTTGATCTCAAACACCTCAATTAATAGACCAGGAACAAACAAATGTGTGTTGTGACTGCACATATTGACTATATACATCATAGTTGTCCAACAGCCCTCATGTTCTGAGGTGTTTCAATTTCAATCCTTATTGCTAAATCAATCTCTTCTTAAATAAGAAGATTGTATGGCTCAAAGGACATTACTTCTGAGGAGCACTTAAAATATTTAAAAAGCATCTTCATAAGATTTTATATTAGAAGTAATATCTACTATTGAGGTACCAAATACATATATATGTGATTTTTATTAAGAAATTTTTATTCATTCCACATACCAACCACTGATACCCCCTCATCACTCCTCCTGCTCCCCAAAAGCCTTCTCCACCATCCCATCGCCCTATCCTCTTCTCCAAAAAGGTATGGCCTCCCATGGGGAGTCAGCAATGTATGTGAATTTTATAAACTTCTTTGTCTTAAAACAACTAAAGCCAATTTTTATTACCATAAGATGCTAATGAAATGCTAACAAATGCAAGGTACTTTTAACACAATAAACAGTAGGTTATTTTAAATTTTAAAGCTGCTTTGCAATGTGCCTTTTGTTTTCTAATTTTCTTGTAATTTACAAAACAGACCAGTTTTATTATATACTAGTAAGAATCAAAATTATTAAATATCAATAACTTGTGGTATATTCTGTTTTCTAATTTCATGCATGAAGCAGCATATTTAGAGATAAATGTAAATCTTCAGAGAAAGCTCTGATTCCAGGGAATGGCAAACCACATTGATGACGTTACACCCAACTTAGCCTTTTCCTCATTGGAGTATCACATTGAGTGTGATACACACTCCTTGTTTCCTTGGTGACAATGGTCATGAATACCACCACATTCTGCTTAGCCTCTGTGACGTCCAGTTGCATATCTTCTAGTGGAGAAAAGGGAATGACGATTCATTAAAGACATATTTATGCAAAAATTTATATTTATATATATATATATATATATATACATATATATATATAGTCTTTGCTTTAGTTCATGTTTCTCCTACAGTATTCTAGAGAAACTGCTTTTACACTTCTCAAAAATAAATAAGCTATTTACACCTTTGTTTCTTTACTTGTTTACTTGTTTAATAAATGGAGTATCTAGGACATTGAGTCTCATACATATAAGACTGCACTATGCAACCTGCCTGACCTGATGTGCTCACCTTCACAATAGTGGTTTAACTGTAATGGTGATAACCAACCACCCTCTCATTGGATTTGAGGCCATCTGGAAGGTGACTCATGTTTAGTGTTGTATGCCTGGCTAACATCCCAGGCCTAGACAAGTCATAAGGCCTTGGCAATGGACTTATTAACAATGTTTAAGTAAGTTGGCATATCAACAAACTGCGTTCTAAATATCTATGGTTAAACACACTGACAAAAGCTGTTGCCAATCTTAATCAAAGAAAGCTATCGTTACAATGGATAGAGATGATACAGAGACTCCTGGTACATAGACCTGAATGTGAGAGGGACATCTGTGAGTAGGGAGGTAAGCAGGGATGGTAGGAAGGTGAGAATGACAGTGGCCTGTATTCATTGTGAACCTCTACAAAATATCTAATACCAAATTTAATAACGACAGTATGTTTAAAAGCAATTCCAAGTAGGTGTGTTAGTAGAGGCTTGTAATCCTAGCACTTAGGAACTGAGTCATAAGGATCACCATGATTTTGAGGCTATCTTGTGAGGTACAGTGGGTTTCAAACCATCCTGAGTTATATAGTGAGAACCAACCAGCAAACAAACAATAACTGTGGCTGCATTCCCACTGGGCCACACCTGGCCTGGCTCCAGAGCATAGCACCTAGCCCTAATCCATCTTTCGTTTAACCGATACCTTTTGTTTCTCTAGCTGCCCTATGTGAATCTTGTCTCAGAGTCTCCCAAAGATACAAAGACCTAGGCAAAACTTGCTTCAGGAAACCCAGAAAACCATGGTACCTGAAAAATGCGAGGAATATTGTTGGGGACACCTTTCAGGTTGTTTTGAGCATATGGAAATCAACTGGCTAAACTGTCATGGAGAGAAATAAAAAGGCCCCAGACAAAGGGAAAGTGCTTCAGTCTTTCGAGGCTGGATCCCCCTGCAGCCATGAAAGGCTAGATTCATTCTTAAGATGCCTCTGAGTCTCCTTTCCACAGAGCCACATGAACCCAAATGCCCATGTTGGGATACACGGTGACAAAAAAAAAAACCCTAGAAGCTTAGCTTCTATTTCATATAGTTGAAAGTTGGATAATTTAAAGATAAAAACATTAGTTTGGGGTAATTATAAGAACCATGAAGTGAATACAACAGATGAAGCGGGAAAGTGGAGATCAAATGAACATGGCAGAATTTGGACACATTATATAAAGGAAGCTATTGTGAAGGTCTAGACTTAACTTTACAGGCTCCATTTTAGGTAAAGGGCCACCATCTCAGACCACCTGCTGTACTCAGTTCCAGGAAGGACCAGAGCAGTATCCTCCTGCAGACATCCTGTCTGCGGTTTATGGCCCTTGAAGATATCTAGATAATCCTGCTGAGCAGTCTAGATAATTCTATTCAGCGGGTTGTGGTTCCCCCATCAAAAGTCTAACCCAATGGTTGCAAATGTGGTTTCACACCCAAAGTCTAGACCAATAGTTTCAAAAAAATCACCTTGCCCCTTCTACCCAATCCCAAGTTGCCAATTCCCAGCTTGTGGTTTTTTTCCCTATAAAAACTCTCTACACCTGGGCTTGTAGCCACTGCCACATTTCCTTCCATCTGCTGTGCCCAGGTTGAACCTAAATAAAAGGACCTTTATGTGCTTGCATCAGAAACCATCTCCTTGGGGGTCTCTGGGGGTCTTGTGAAATGGGTACAACACTATCTGAAGACCTGAAATTAAACATGAGAAAAATAAGCCATGGAAATACAAGCAAGAGATTTCTAGAGCTGATTGTGTTCCTGCTCTATCTACCATACTCCTTTAGGTAACTGATCCATAGGGACCTCAGTTTAAACACAGTGGTATCTCTACGCCATTAGTATATTTTCATGTCTGCCAGGGATTGAACCCAGTGTTTGTGTGTGCTAAACACATCTCTAAACACATCTATATCTACTAAAAACATCTCTATCTACTAAGTAACATGGATTAGTGAACTATTATTGCCCAAATCATGAACTTTTGGCCAACTCTAATGATCACATATTGACTGACTCCTGAGACATCAATTGGTAGTTGATCTCTTAGCATACTAAGTCCAATGTCTAGCCTAAATTTTAAGGACAAATTGTAATGATAAACCTTTTCTTCAATTTAATTTTAATTTTTCCCTTTTTGTGAAGCTAATAAGGACTTCCTCGTATGCGGCTGAGGGATTTATGAGAGCAAATATTAGCAGAGAAACCAGAGGAGGAAGAGGAAAACAGGAGGTGGAGGTAGAGGAGAAAGAATAGGAGGAGGAGCAGGGGTAAGAGAAGCTGGAGGAGGAGTGAAGGTTGTCAGTCAATGAAATTACAATTACTTTTAACTTAAAAGCAGCCAAGAACAATTAGTTTCTAGATTCTTTCTATGGCTTTTAGGGATGAAATGGGATGACCCTTCAAAGCAGAATCATGCTTCAAATGTTGTCGGTGCTTCCCGATCTGTTATTGCCCAGCTGCATTTGGTAAACCATAAGAGGTAGCCGAGAAGTTACCACATTGCCCCCTTGCCATTAGTACTTAACACAGAGTAGAATCCATCATTCCTTATGTCAAACTGTAACTTATTATGGACTAATCACATCACGGTCATTCACTTCTCGTAGCCTCCTTGTCTTTGCATCAAAAAAAAAAATCACAGGATATCTTTCAAAGCAAAGTTATGGGCTGTTGGGTATATGCCATTTTGATAAGGATATATGTCTGAAATTAATTAATTATTTACATATATATATATAATATATTTTTTCATGTGTATTATTTCTGGCCCTTTCAAGCTTTTGCATTAGATTTGGGGTGAAAGTATTTTTACTGACTAATCCAACATCCCAAAGCTGCCTTTCCTTAACTGTCTAGTCTAGATAAACTTCTAAGTACTGTCAGCTTCTTAAACTAGATCTACCTTATTCCTACCCTTGTCCTCATAACACCTAGACTGTGCAAGGTAGTGGGAGGAGATATTTAAAGCTAGAAATCAGATCTTGTCACCCAAAACTTTTTGAGGTTTTCCTTGCCTTGGATAAAAGTAAAGACATTTCAATGACATGTACAACCTCGCATGAACTACCGCCTTTATTTTATCCAGACTGAACCCACTGTCATTCTCTAAGCATAGCAAGTAGGTCCCTGCCTTCATTATAATATTTTTTGCACCTGGAACACATTTATTTGAGTTGTCCCAT